GATGCAGAGCAGAGATGTAGAGGAGCAGGGCAGATGGAGGAGCCCTGGGCTCCTGTGTCAGGAGTTGTGGGAGGCCAGCCTAGCAGGACAGGGTCACTGGCAGAGCCGCTGCTGTTCTGTGCCCAGGGGTTCAGGCTGCCTGACAGCAGCATGAGGGTTAGTGAGGGGCAGGCCCAGATGCTCATGGTGTATTTGGCTGTGTGGAGGGGCCACTGCTTCACACCAGTGTCAGAGGACATGGAGGAGGTTTGATCTTGACCTAAGATCCCAAAGGAATCTCAGCACAAGTCTCAGGTTGTAGTTTGTTTCAGAAAGAGCAGAGGACAGATTGGAAGGAGGGAGGGAGACCCAGGAGCTAGGCAGCTTCGTAGCAGACCAAGGAGGCGTGGTGGCCTGATGGAGTGGGGCCAAGGCAAGGGAAGTAGATGATTCCCAAAGACACATGTGGGAGGCGTGCTCAACAGTGCCCAGCCGCCAGTGATGTGGGGAGAAGGACGCAACATGCTGGGTAGGCATCTGGCCTTGGTGGCAGGGTGCTGATGCCCAGTGGGCCAGGACTGAGGAGGAGCTAGAGATGGGCAGGAAGAAGTGATGAGCCCAAGAGAGAGACACTGGAGCCCTGTGAGATTTCCAACTGGAGAGTGGAGGGAGTGCAGGTTGCAGGTGGGCCAGGCAGGTATGGTCATCCCAGGGGCACCTGTGTTTGTAGTGCAACTAGGAAATGGGGTGTGTGGGTGGCATCTGGCAGCCCCTGCACCCTAGCAGGCCAGATCACAAAGGGATGGAAGTGGGCTTGTGTGCCTAGTGGAGAGGTGGCCTGTGTTGGCTGGAGCTCTTCTAGGGAGGCAATGGGCGGACGCCAGGCTGTACAGATGGCAGTCTGGGAGCAAGACCTCAGGCCAGGGAGTTCCACCAAGTCCTGAGTCTCTGTGGACAGGCCTGTCCTGAGTTTCTGCCTTTTTCTGCCTTGTTTAGAAAGAAGGCACTTATTTATTTAGTTAAGAGTGTTATGCCTGTGTGTGTAAGTGCACCTGTATTGTACCGTGCCTGTGGAGGACAGACGAGAGCATCAGATCCCCTTGAATTGGAATTATGGATGTTTGTTAGCTGCCATGTGGGTGCTAGGACCTGTCTTTTTGCAAGAATAGTGCTCTTAACCACTGAACCATCTCTCCAGCCTCGGCACTCATCTTTAAAAAAAAATTAATGGGGCTAGAGAGATGGCTCAGTGGTTAAAAGCCACCCACATGATGGAACCATCTATAACTCCAGTTCTAGGGGATCCAGTACCCTCTACTGGCCTTTATGGGCATTGCTTGACACTGGTGCACTTACATAGATGCAGGCAGTACACTTATACACATAAAATGAAAGTATAAAAACTTGGAACTGGAGAGGTGGCTCAGCGGTGAAGAGCACTGGCTACTCTTGCAGAAAACCTAGGTTTGAATCCCAGCACCCACGTGGCAGCTAACAACCATCCATAACTCCAGTTCCAGGGGATTCGACGCCCTCTTCTGACCTCCCCGGGCATTGCATAACACAGGTGCACTTTCATACACACAGGCAATACACTCATACGTGTAAAATAGAGGAAAAATAATAAAAACGAAATATTAAAAAAACTTTTGTAAGTTTTATTGTGTGTATGTGTATGTATATGTGTGCACATCCCATGGTATGTGTGGAAGTCAGAGGACACCTCCACTCTGTGTTCTAGGAGTTCATCAGCACAGTGTAAAGCCAAGTTCTTGAACCAATTTTAGTGATTAATGTTATTTTCTCTCTGAAACCACTTAATGTCTAATGAAAATGCAACTTTGTATTGCTCAGACTTACATTTCAGTTATATAATTAAAAATATATTTATGGGGCTGGAGAGATGGTTCAGTGGTTAAGAGCACTGGATGCTCTTGCAGAGGACCCAGGTTCAAATCCCAGCACCCACATGAGAACTAACAACTGTCCTTAACTCCAGTTCCAGGGGATCCGATGCCCTCTTCTAACCTCTGAGGCATGCACAGCATGGGTGCATTTCCATACATGTAGGCTATACACTCACACACAGAAAATACAGTGTTAAAAAGTGTGTGTGTGTGTGTGTGTGTATGTGTGCACGCATGTGTGCACACATGCAGAGGCTGTCTGAAGGAGTTGTCAGCCACTGACTGTGGGTCCTGGCAACAAAACTCTGGTTCTCTGCAAGAGCAGCAAGCACTCTTAACTACTAAGCCATGTCTCCAGCCCCTCAGATTTACATTGTAGATAAAAGACAACAACAATACCTGTTTATTATGTCTGTTCAGTTTCAGAAAACTACTGAAAACTTTATAGTAAATACCAGTAAATAGCCTGCAGCCCTGGCGACCTCGGGCTGTGGTGAGAGTGGTGAGGGGCCTGGAGCCTCTGCAGCCTGGGCTGGCCTAGGCAGGGCCTTGGCCCATGGTCCTGGCAGCTCGGGGTGAGTGCTGTCTGGGATGTTCCTGGGACGTCCTGCTCTTGGTTGAATATGTCCTCTGGCCCTCCTGTTCCTACCTTCCTAGTGCTGGCGTCACAGGGCTGTGCCATCACACCTGGTTGAGCTTAACTTTTTTAAAGAGTATTTTTTTTAATGTTTTTGTTTTTGCCTGCATATATGTAAGTGCACCTGTGTCATACAGTGCCTACGGAGGTCAGAAGAGGGCATTGGATCCTCTAGAACTGTAGTTACGAACAATTGTTAGCCACTGTGGGTGCTGGGAACCGAACTCAGGTCCTCTGCAAGAGCAGCCTGTGCTCTGCTGAGCCATCTCTCCAGCCCCTTGGCTTTTTTTTTTTGATCCTCCGGCCTCCACCTCTTGAGTGCTGGAATTACAGCTTGAACTCTTGATCCTCCTCCACACCTCTTGAGTGCTGGAATTACAGATGTGCACCAATTTATGGGATGATGGAAATGAACCCGAAAAGTGGTACGTGGACAGTTGGGACCCTAAGTGGTAATAATCTCAATCTATTGCACATACTTGAAAGCTCTTTTTTTTTATTTTAATTTTTATTTTTTTGGTGTGGTGGCAATTACACAGGGGCATAGCTTGGGACTGTTGAATCTCTGGGAAATACATTTATTCATATCACACATTTATGTATTTACATGGTTAAGAACTCTTAGCGTGCAAGGTGGAGGCAGTAGGAGAATGGCGGCCATGGGGTCTTTTGGGGGAGTCTTTTGAGGAGGATGAAGGCTGGAGTGGGGTGTGCGAGGCTGTGATCCCAGCACCCTTGGAGGCTGTGGCAGCTTGAGGCCAGCTGGGGCTGCACAGTGAGACTCTACCATAAAAATAATAACAGCAGGCTGCTTGCTTCTGCTACCCAGAGAGATGGAGCTCAGCCAGGGAATGATGCAGGCTGTGTGGGCCCAGGGCGCCACGGGCCCTTCTACATCCCTCCTCTGTCCTTCCCGCATCCCAGCAGTACCTGCTGCTGTGGCTAGTGCAGGCTAGGAGGCACCCTGCAGCCTCAGGCCCTCATGCTGCATCTTGGGGAAAGGGGAAAGGTAGCATTTGTCCATTGTCAGCATGAGAAAATAGAATGCTGACCATCGTCCCTCATGACCACCATCTACCACCATCTCATGCCTCCTCTCTCTGGCTCTAAGTCCCATGACCTCCATTGTTGTCGTCCTGTTCCCCCTGGGGTTCCTCCCCACGTGGTACTGTCCCGTCTGCCATCTTACTCAAGGCCATGCTTCTCAGCCTCTTGCCCCTGTCTTCACACTGCCACTGCCTGGCCCTTCCCACGGCGCAGGGTCCCTGCATCTGCAAGCATCTGTCCCGTGTTCTGGAAGGCCATCCTCCTCAGCAGCCCCCTTTCTCCTCCCCCTGCTGCTGGTTCTGACTGTGCTGCTGGCCTCCGTCCCTCAGTCCAGTTATCATGGTGCTGCAGCTGACACTGTGCCAGGGTTACCACTGGCTTCCATCTCAGCCCAGTCACCATGAGTCAGCTGACTTGTCCTACCAGCTTCTGCCTCACTGACCCCTGGGGCTCCTCCATGTGTCAGACTGTCCAGGCTTGACCCTTGCAGCCTGGTGTCAGCATCCTGTCCCCAATATGCCAGTCTGCGCCCCTCTCTGATTCTGTCCCCGAGTGGGTGTCTCAAACAGCATGTCCAATCCTCTGCCTTCAGAGTGTGGCCCCATCACTGCACTCTGTGGCCTCCCGAGCCACCCTTGGGCCAGAATCTCTACCCGTCCTCACAGTATGCATAGGATGCCATGTCTCCTGACTCAACTCCTTTAGGCCCTAAAGCCCCTGCTCTGGGCTCCTTTCAAAACTCGCCATGGCTGCCTCTCTGCTAGCCTGTGCTGTCTTGAGCACTCTTTCCTGGTCTTCACAGAGGCCCTGCTGCCAGGCCAGGTTTGGGTGGTCACCATGGTCACAGCAGAGAGACACCAACCTAGCTTTTGAGTGAGGTTGATAAGCCGCAGTGACTCACCACCTCCTTGAGAAGCTCCCAGGTCTTCAGCTCTGTGCCGTCTCCTCTGCCTCCCTTTAGCTGGTCCCCTAGAATCATCGCTCTTTCCACTCTCCCTCACAGGCCTGGGTTTGGTTCTGCCCTTAGGCCCAGGCCTTGGTGGGTCATAGCTGGGGCAGAGTTTCTAGAATTGCCCCATTCAGTCACTCTTCCTATTTTGAAGGTCTGATTGATCTGTATCAGGTAGGCCTTTATGCCTCCTTTTTCTTAAAAAAAAATCCACCAGAAACACTGGCAGGTGGTCTGGGTCATCTAGTGGTCCTGGGTCACACATCTGTGGGGCACTGGTCTCTGCATGCTCCGTTCCGGTCTTCTGAGTGCTCCAGACCCAGGGTGGATGGGAGGAGTCCTGGTGAGGGTCTGAGGCCTTGAAGCCATGGATAAGCCGGCCGTCTCCCTTTCTCTGGAGGATGGAGTGACGGTGTGTGTGTCATGTGTCCCCTCGCTGTCTGCCCGAGCTCATTTGCTCTCCTGTGCTTTGCTGCCCTAGGAGTTTGCTGCGCTCACTAAAGAACTCAATGTGTGCCGTGAGCAGCTCTTGGAGAGGGAAGAGGAGATCGCTGAGCTGAAGGCAGAAAGGAACAACACCCGGGTCAGTCCTGGGCTCATCTGCCTCTGCCTTCCCCTGAGCAGAGTGTGGGCCGTCACCCAGTGAGGGCCCTCACCGTGGAGCTTACAGTGCCACAGTTCAGCTGAGCACTCTCTTCTGGCTTTCTGCTGAACTGTGTGGGCTATGGGTGCTCTCCCGTGAGGACGGGGACCACGGGGGGCTGTCCTGTGAGGCTGGGTCTGTGGGTGCTCTCCCGTGAGGATGGGGACGGGGGGGGGCTGTCCTGTGAGGATGGGTCTGTGGGTGCTCTCCCGTGAGGACGGGGGGCCGCAGGGGGCTGTCCTGTGAGGATGGGTCTGTGGGTGCTCTCCCGTGAGGACGGGGGGCCGCAGGGGGCTGTCCTGTGAGGATGGGTCTGTGGGTGCTCTCCCGTGAGGACGGGGGCCACGAGGGGCTGTCCTGTGAGGATGGGTCTGTGGGTGCTCTCCTGTGAGGACAGGGCTTTACGAGTGTCCTGGCCGTTGCAGCTACTGCTTGAACACCTGGAGTGCCTGGTCTCCAGACATGAGCGTTCCCTGCGGATGACAGTGGTGAAGAGACAGGCCCAGTCCCCTGCGGGCGTGTCCAGTGAGGTGGAGGTACTGAAAGCGCTGAAGTCCCTGTTTGAACACCACAAGGCCCTGGACGAGAAGGTACCATCAGCCACTGACAGTCTGACTTCGCGTACCCGAGACTTTGTGGGTGTCTTAGTCACTGGGTTTTGTAGCGCACACCTTTAATCCCAGCACTTGGGAGGCAGAGGCAGGCTGATATCTGTGAGTTCGAGGCCAGCCTGGTCTACATAGTGGAGACCCTGTCTCATAAAGACCAAAAAAATAAAAGAATTTGACACTAGGGGCTGCAGAGGTGGCTCAGGGGTTAAGAGCTTTAACTGCTCTTGCAGAGGACCTGGGTTCGATTCCCAGCACCCTCATTGCAGCTGACAACTGTCAGTAACTCCAGTTCCAGATCTGATGCCCTCTTCTGGCCTTTGGATATTGCATCCATGTGGTGCACTTACATACATGCAGAGAAAACACTCATACTCATAAAATAAAATGAATTTGAGCTCAGTGTGATTCTGCAAGTTTGTAATTCTAGCACTTGAGAGGCTGAGATGGGGAGTTACTGAGTCAAGACAAGCCTTGGTTCCACAGGTGGTACAGGGCAGCACAGCAAGACACCGTCTCAACTCTCCCGTCCCCACCAAAAATAAAAAGAATTCAGTGCTCTAATTTACTTAGGGGCAAGAATTTAAAATTACACCCCTGTAATCCCTGCACTCAGCAGACTAAGGCAGGAGGGTTACAAGTTCAAGGCCAGCCTGAACTATATAGCAGGACTGGAGGGAGGGTTCAGCAGTTGAGAGCACTGGCTGCTCTTTCAGAGGACCCAGTTGGGTTTCCAGCACCCACATGGCAGCTCACAGATGTCTGAAACTCCAGTTCCCTCTTCGGACCTCTGCAGGCATTACATGACACGGGTGCACTTACATATATGCAGACGAAACACTCATACATATAAAAATAAATAAATTTTAAATAAAGCTATCAGGCATGGTGATGCAAGCCTTTAATCCCAGTACTTGGAGGGCAGAGGCAGGTGGATCTCTTTAAGATCAAGGAGGGCCTGGTCTATATAGCAAGTTCCATACCAGCCAGGTCTTCGGGGAGACCCTGCCTTAAAAAATAAAAAACAGCTGGGGGGCTGGAGAGACGTCTCAACGGTTAAGAACACTGGTGGTTCTTTCAGAAGGCCCCGGGCTCGAATCCCAGCACCCATATAGCAGCTAACAACTGTCTGTAACTCCCATCCTAGGGGATCCAACAACCCCTCCTGACCTCCTTGGGCACGACACGGGTGCACTTACCTACATGCAGGCAATACACACATACACATAAAATAAAAATGATAAATAAAATTTAAAAATAAAACAGCTGGGCGTGATGGTTCACACTTCTAATCCCAGCACTTGGGAGGCAGAGGCAAGCAGATCTCTGAGTTCCAGGCCAGCTGGGGCTACAGGGAGAGACCCTGTCTCAAAAAGACCAAAAATCTAAAACAAAACAAAAAACAATTATGAGGATCAGTCTTCTTAACAGTGTTGACAGTGCTGTTGTGAAAGGCAGCGCGCAGCACGGTCGTGTGTTCACGTCACTGACGTGGTTAGGTCGGCTGTGCAGTGAGTACAAATGCACATACAAACCTTGCCTTGCAGGTGCGAGAGCGGCTCCGAGTCGCACTGGAGAGGTGCAGCTTGTTAGAGGAGGAGCTGGGTGCCACCCACAAAGAGGTGAGCTTGTCACTCTCACGAGATCAGGGGTTGGAACACTGGAATGGTTATTGTCCCCTGATTTTGAAAATGTACTAGACCTGTCATAGAAGTCAGGGAAGTCAGGAGTTACTGGCTTTGCTAGTTGTGGGTCAGCTGCAGTTAGAGGAGTGCAGTGTCAGCCTGCAGCCTCTTCTTTGTGCCCCTCTGTCCAGCAGAGGACAAGCGGTCTCTAGTGTTGGGGTCTCTAGTGCTCTCCTCTGGCTGTGCTGAGTAGTTTGCAGCCATGTACAGCCTTACTGATCTCTCTCACATGAAGTATTTCACTCTAGAAGTCAATCTTCTATCTTAGCTAATGATTCTCAAGGAACAGAATAATCAGAAGAAAACGCTGACGGATGGAGTGCTGGATGTGAACCATGAGCAGGAGAACACCCCGAGCACCAACGGCAAGGCAAGTCCCTGGCTCTCTGTTGGGTCTCTGACTTCGTTTTCTGTGCACAGCCCAAGTGACCTTGAGAGGTGTGTCCCCCGCAGAGCGCACGGGACCCTCTGAGGCCCGCTTCCTGGAGGTGTAGCAGATCGGGTCATAAGGCTGTGTCTTTCCCTCCAGAGATCTTCTGACGGTTCCCTGAGCCACGAGGAAGACCTGGCCAGAGTGCTGGAGCTGCAGGAAGTCATAGACAAGCAGTCAAGAGAGCAGAGCCAGATGAAGGAGCGTCTGGCCGCCCTGTCCAGTCATGTGGCAGAGCTGGAGGAGGATCTGGACACGGCCAGGAAGGACCTTATTAAGTCTGAAGAGATGAACACAAAGTTGCAACGTGATGTCCGAGAAGTGAGTGGCCAGTCCCGCCACCCTTGGATCGGCTAGCCTGACCCCTGGCTTCTTGCCCTTGTTCCTTACTGAACTCCTACATTTGTGCCCTTCCTCCTGTGCTGCCCTCATGAGTGAGCCCCACACCACCTCCAAGGCTGCTTGGTGTGGTGGTGTTTCAAGTTGGGCTCCTGCTAACGCATCCACCTAGCAGGAGACACTGGTGTTGGGTTGGTGCCTAGCCAGGAGAGATGCCCTGAGGCTTAGGCTATGTCGGCCTTCACTGACCCTCACAGGTGTGTGCAGTAATGGGGTCGAGCACACAGTGAGTATGTGGAACAGAGCCACACTGGGTTGTCAGCATCCTCATGTGAACAACCATTTCTTCCTGGGTAACTCTGAAGAGTGTGCTTGGTCATCATTAGAGTAGACATGACAGCTGGGACCTCCTTCTGTCGCTCTGAACCTGTCCTCTGTTGCCCGTGAGACCCTCCCACTGTTTCTAGCTCCTACCCTATTTCCTAAGTGACAGCAATCATATTTTTTTAATTTTTAAAATTTAAAAAAATATTGTTATTTATCTTTTATGTGTATGAGTGTATTGCCTACATGTATGTATGTGTATCCGTGTCGTGGAAATCAGAAGACTTTGGATTCCCCTGGAACTGGAGTTAAGGATGGTTCGTAGCCGCCATGTGGGTGCTGGGAATCAAACCCAGGTCCTCAGTCAGTGCT